CTTTAATTAATTTTTTTTTGAAAAGAGAATTTTCAGAGTGATGTCTACATTTCCATTCTTGTTCGTACTAGTTTCCACGCTTGAAAATCAACGTTCTGGGAGATTCGGGGAATCCGCGAAGGCTAATGCTTAACCCTTTCATGACAATGGCAGCCACCGGTGGCTGCCAAAGGCCCCGTTCATACACCGCGGTTAATGCGATTTGGCTCTAATGCTGAAAGTAAAGCATAGGTATCGATCTGGAAAAAAAGCGGCAATGCGATTATGCGGTTTGACGATTTCGCGATAATGCTGAACGTTGTGGGTGCGTATCGACTAAAAAGGCTCCGCCCAATAAGCGTTCATCGATGCCACGAGTAGACGACAAAGCGATTATGCGATGAAACGATATAGCGATTTAGCTGTAATGCTGAAAGGGACAGATGCGAATCGATTGAGGTGGCTCCGTTCAACGAGCGCAGATGCGATTATGCGATTGAATTTGGCGAGTACATCGTTTGGCGATTTTCCAGTGAAGATTGGATACATATTGAATAAGTGACAAAAACAGCACTCATCGAGCGGCAAACCGTTAAAAGCGTTGTGGCGCGTGCGCAACGCTTTAGCGCCATTTGCCTTCACCGCTATATCGTTTCATCGTGACAATGGCGGTGTACCGAACGGCTGACAAAGATCTCACTCGGGACAATGGTATCCACCGGTGGCTGCCGTGTTTCAAATGGAATTTGGAAAGTTTTCTTTCCTGAAAAGAATCTTCATACCCTCATTCATCTACGCCAGCCCTGGGCAGAGGAAATCTCCATCCACTCAAATTTTATTGAAGAAAAATCTCCTGACTCTCCTGCTATTGCGCAATCCCGCGCGGTCGCGACTGGGTTAAATGTCGATAAAGCGACTCTACGGCGAAGGTTAACTATAAATTCGTCCGAGAAATAATGTTACCTTTTAAACCTTAATTTTGAAACGATATCAAGCTGCACGCAAACATTACCAACCTAAGTAAAAGTCATTGGAATCTATATCTTC